AGGTCGTCGGAGGTTCACATGTCGTTATGGCTTACCGACAATGTCCATCTGTGGCGGATAGACGTGAAGGAGTATGACTCGATTTTGTTTTAATGGCCAGTAGCGCCAAGTTTAAGTGCAGAAGAGAGTGCATTTCGCTTTCCTTGTTCCCAGTCAATGTGCATGAAGAAACAGATCTCTCTTCTCCGGTGGCAGCTCCCAACTCCACCCTCACCGGACAATTGTGAAGATAACGCTTCTTTAAGCCGACCGACCCTCTCTTCTCCCACGTGTTTACGTTTCACCCGGTTCTTACAATAAACACTTGTCATATCGCTTGGCTTATCGTGTGACTAAAGTGTTATATTTCATTTTGGATGTCTTGGAGACCGAGAAGAATAATACCCAAAAAGGGAAACGCGCACCGGACTAGGACGTTCTATCTCAGGCACCCTACGGAGAGGCAGACGAGACGACGGGCACTGAACCTTCTACGAGGTCGGTCATTACATATCAAAGCCAACCACGACTAGAAATGAAAATAAACAATCAATTAAACGGAGCTGCGTCGAATCTGGAGCGTAAAAATATACTGGCATACTTTATTATGCGTCACTTTATTCTCACAGGAACATCACCCGCTAATTGCATTTTCAGTCCAGGCTTGGGACAGACTGGCGAGAACTGCTCATGCGAGCCTCGAGAAGTACACTACAAGACTGCACCTATATGCATGCAAGGAGAACTTCTTAGAATGCCTTTGCAACTGATTAAAACTAGCGGTCTCAGCTACAGGTGTTTCGCATCCACTGAAGAACATCAGTTTCGCAACTGTTTTCTTTTTACGATTTGTGTACTGTCCTGCATTCGCCTCCTGTCACCGGGTGAGAGGGGGTGAAGGGATCGCGCTTGAGAAATTCATGCTTGATTTGGCAAAATTTTAGTAGAACTGGGAGGGGAGTTGAGACGCCCGACACGTTTGCCAACAACCTGAAGTGCTTTCATGTCAACTTTGTTCGTGCTGAGCCCCAACAAACTGTGGCTATTACCTTTTTTGATATCGCTTCACTAAATGCCTTTTTACGGTGAATAGGCTTCCATTTCCAATGTCCCAGCACTATTGTACAACCTTTGAGTGAGCGGTGACATCAGTCACAGAGCTCCAAAGTCCGGTTTTCAACTCCATGTGACGATTTGTAAGCTAATGATCAGAGAAGGCGTCAGACAGGACATTGGCAAATGTGATTATGGGTCCAGCTGGCGAGTATTGTTTTGTAAATACGACTAGAGTGGATGGGGGAAAATAGGACTGTTAAATGACCATGACGGGTAATAACTGTAGTATTCATCCAAGAGCGTCGGTTATTTCGTCCGGTCAGTATTCCAGACTTGCACAGTACAAAATGGGGCCAGTAATAATAACTGATGACCTCTATCGCTGCGTTCAAGGACACACGTCAACGATTAGAGAACAATTCGGTACTGGCGTTTAACTCTACGCTTGCTTTTGTGGGCTTCATCATCGAGCACAACTGTCAAGATATCTCACCTTAGTTCTATCGCCATAGCATGGTTGTGGTTTTCTTCCTTTGGAAAGTAATTTCGGTCGTTATCGCAAATCTGTAGCATACGGGACATTTAACTTCTACAGCTCGCTGTAATTGCTATAGACATTTAGTGGCCCGCAATTAGGAGACTCGATAATGTTGTTCGTCTCAGAAAGAAAGGCCTGTCGATCAAATGCTATCGTCTGTCAGGCCTTACAAGAAAGGAGAAAGGAACATCACTCTCGTTTAACAGAAGGAAGAGATATGACAGTTCGACCGTCGATTCCGACGAGTCCACCGTGTGCTACACAGTAAGGTGCAGCAGGCACGGTGACTTGTGAGGGAATTAGTTTATAGTGATAATCGACTTGCGCCGCATCTACCGCACTCCCTAACGGTCCTTACCTCAGGAAGTGAGGTAACTAAGTAAAACAGGCGTATAATCCAATGCAACTGCAGCCTCACTTGCTACATGTTTTACGCGCCCACTGAATGCTTAAGAAGCTACCTCATGTGTTTCGCATCAAGAATTTGGAACAACAAAGGCGAGGACATTAAAATAGCCGTTCACGGGTGGTACCCCGGTTTCCGGTACTGGCCTGCACAAAGTTTGCGAAGAATTAGTTGAACACTGCGAAATTATTTTGCCACAGCCATACCGACCTACGCGGTATCGACCGAGATCGTGATATGCCCTCAGTCACGTGGAACTGTCGTGCTCCTATCCGTTCTGTCTGCTCAACGGAAGTGCGCGTCCCAGTGTCCCGTCCTCATCAGCTGAACTTGTCTATCATTTACTGCCATTCATAACGTGGCCGCCTGCGTTGTCCAGAGATCCGCGGCTGGAGAGGAAGACGGAAATGCCGTTCTTGTCCTGCAATCAGGACAGGGCCGTTCTGCGCTTATCCGACGGGACTAACTTTTTGTTCCCTTGCTTTGCCTGTATGCGGCACTGGGAGCAGTTATCCTTTAGGCTTCCCTAATCGTACACACGACTGAATTTACAGTAGGTGGGCCAACGCATGAAATGTCAACCGAAATTCCGAAATGCGTTTTCGTTTCGAACAGATTAATTAAGTAGGGTTGTAAAACTATTCAGCATGCAGCATAATTCCATAACAATTCAGTCACCTCAGGATGCCGGTTTTTGAACGAAGTTCCTTTCGGCTGTATGCAAAAACTACAGTCTGTAAAAAATGACTACTTAAAGAGCATGCATTTTTATCATTGATTTTCGATGCCCCTAAAAGTCCAATTATATTTCATGGGAAGCACGCATAGAAACATTCATTCTTTTACTCATTCGGTGGATAATTACGTTTTTTTTCCAATTTTGCACTCGAAGGAAACGTTTAATTCAATTTTCAAAAACCTTTCCAATTCCCGAATAATTTTGAACCCGATCTGCCGTTACACTTGCATTCAGGATTTCAAAACTACAAGCCGTATATTTCCCGCGTACGGAATACCATACATTTCTCTACAATATTAGGGGGAGACCATATGGGGTGCATAAAATTTACTAGTGGATGTTGGCCATATTGTTAACTTTACAAGCCACATGGATAAATGCAGAGACATGGCGTTTTATGAACGGCCATCTCACGATATTAAAAACTCTCACAATTAGAAACTTTTTTAAAACCGCATTGTGTAACTCCTTCGAGTATAAAATTGGAAGAAAACGTAATTATCCACCGAATGAGTAAAAGAATGAATGTTTCTATGCGTGCTTCCCATGAAATATAATTGGACTTTTAAGGGCATCGAAAATCAATGATAAAAATGCATGCTCTTTAAGTAGTCATTTTTTACAGACTGTAGTTTTTGCATACAGCCGAAAGGAACTTCGTTCAAAAACCGGCATCCTGAGGTGACTGAATTGTTATGGAATTATGCTGCATGCTGAATAGTTTTACAACCCTACTTAATTAATCTTTTCGAAACGAAAACGCATTTCGGAATTTCGGTTGACATTTCATGAGTTAGCCCACCTACTGTAGGTTCCCTGAGTCCGGAAGCGGACGCGCCTATCACCTTCATGTTGTTTAGCCCCCAAGCCAATGGGGTTATCAGGGCGGGTTGGTTCTTTAATCACAACTCACTAGAGTCGCAGATGTTAACCGCGGGTCAGGTGGGGATAGGGATGAATGACCATCTCTTGCTGCAGTGTACAAGGAGAATCCAGCAATTCAACCAAACGATCAAGCTCTACATAGAAACCTTATTCACTCATACATCTGAAGAAAACATACCAATGATGAACAATTTGAGTACTAGGTAACTAACGCCCTGGTGGTGCTGTCGTCGGCTACATGTGTTGTCTTCACTCAACTACGAGCCGTCATTTGTTCATCCGTTTTACTTGGGGAAACGACGTTTTCTGGCGCGTGTTCCTACTCTTAATTCCAACATATCCCGAATCAAAAGATAAGGTGTTACAAAGGTTTCTTGAGGAAATAATTTCAGGCGTTTGTTGCGGGAATCCAGACCATTGAGATCTTTTTAAAATATTTCATGCCTTTTTTATCAAAATACAAACAATGGACGTGCGTAATCAGTGTTGACAGCAGCTGTTACGACTACTGAGGCAGGGGTCTCGCGTGCTTCAAACCTTTATTCAACACGATCCTGGAAAAATAAACTGACAAATTTCGACCAGTCCGAGACAGTCTTTCTCATGACAATTAGTCATAGTTTAAGCGGGACAAGCTGCGCACCTCGCCTAGCTAACGTAAAATTTTAAATCAGATTTTGACATTTTCGATCGATAGCGACTCTGTCGTTCGCGTACATGCTGTCAAAAGCACGCTCTGCAAACACACGCACGGCTGTCATTCTACCCCCTAATACTGTTTTCTCCTCGTGAACAAAAACTAAAATAGAATCCTTCACGAAGATCAAGCCATGGCCCCAGACGCATGGATAGTTTTGGTCTTCATTTCCACATTTCCCAGCGGACTTCCACTAGACCCTCCCATGCGGCCGCCATCCTATGTAAACCTTATCTATCCCAGTGGTATGTCCGCCACCGACGAGTTCTATACCAGGTCGGGCTACCCAACAGGAACTATTGGTAGTGAGGTTATGGCAGTAGTTGTACCGCCGGTAGGCCCACCCGGCAGGAGTCGTTTGGTGCCGTGGTACAAAGAAAAACGCACCGCTTGGTACGATTTCAGTAGATATGTCGACTTCGAAACCATGCGTTGGTTGAGGATAGACTGCCTGAAATCAAAGCAGTCCTGGCTGAACTGTGCGTTCCGATGGAAGCATTTTATATTTCACAGGAATAGACTGTTCGACGTCAAGTCAAGCAAATCAAACGCGTTCAGAGCAGCCCTCTCGAGAACTGTACTGCAGCTCTCAGCCTTTCGTATGGACTACATTGGATTTTATTGCTTGCTCAGACGAGTTCTGTGGATGAGGAGTCACATCAGGAATCGGAACAGGCCCGACGACGTTTACGGGACATTCATGGATGATGATCTGCGGGGCATGTGTCCCCGAGTTTGTTCTCGTCGTGCTAGTGTCTTTGAGGAGGCGGTCAGCGTGCCCACCGTTGACCCGAAGACCGGTAAAACTACCCTGCTGCCGCAGTCCAAAGTACTACGACCAGAGAGGCGTGCCGATCAGTGTCTCTCCGCTCCCGGTCTGCCTACAATGCTGAGTGGTCGATGTCATGCCAAACGCCGTGGTAAGTTCCAAAATGACTGATAACGTGGATCTGTTGGAGGTGGCGCTTGAAAATTGGCGTGCTTTACTCAGGGACATCAGTCCAATGTTTGCATCACTTTACTCACCACCCACGTGCGATTGCAGTATGCGCGGAGGAAATCAGACAAAAATTCCCAAAGAGGCAGGGAGGCACAGTTAGTTGGTACCTAGTGGCCGCATAGGAAAGGGCGCATGCGACTGGAACTACTTGACATCGGGAATTAGCATTAACTTTGAGGATTACGGTGACATTTAAAGTTGTGTTTTTTTATAATTGCTTGGGGTAATAAAGTCCAAGTTAATTGGGGAAAGTAGCGAACATTAACCGTAGTTGCTGTATATGAACCAACAGCCAACCCTCATGACAATTATAAAACGAGTTCCTCGGTCTTTTTCGCAAAGTTCTGCTCCACATTCCTCCAAGAAAACGCAGGGCTTATTCCACAACCCGACGTGTCCTCATAAAATTTATCGTCGGCGTTATGTGGGACACTTGCGACCGACTTCCTGGTTTCACTGAAGATAAAATAATGGTTATGGTTAAAGTCAGAATCCAAAAAACGCCTGCTGATTAGGTATTTAAATGTCTGTAGAACAGCGGCATGAGACTGATCGTTTTGTATGGATAAACTATATGCAAAAGCATTATCCGGCTGTCGCTCAAGGTGTGGAAAGGAGACGGCAACAAGAACAGCTCAAGCTGGGGGTTTGCATCTCAAGGCGTTCATTCTGTCGCAAAAACTAGATGGTAGCAAACGTCGATGCAGTAAACCAGCCAGTCGCCTTTATCAAGACATTCCCAGAGACCCTGTGTTTTCTGAAAAAGGTTGACGCTCATCAGCCCTACCCGAGGGGGGAATTCGTCCGGTGCAGCGAAGGTATCACTGAGGCCTTGTTTATCTGAGGACTGAATACTGACTGAACTCATTTGATTGTTAGATGAGACGTAGGTACCCGGATCACCGGAGACTCAGACTTCAGAGCACTGCGTCGGCTGCTGATACGATCAGTAGAAAATAACGCATGACGTTCAGATTGAAGATGACTTCCACTGCTGGTGACACGTGGAAGGTCAATCAATTTTTTCAAAAGTTGTTGCGCATACATCATCCGACTGCCAGATCGATAAACGACGACTGTTCTCCCCATAAAGTCACTCAGTCAGCGACTGTCAGGCTAGGAGAAAGTAGCTTACCGAGTTGAACGCACAGGCGAAGTTAGTAGTATTGATTCATATGGTCCCCCAAACAGGACATGGGAATAGGTACGTCCCGCCCAAGCAATAAAGGGGGACCTGAGCATAATTCCGGAAGGGACAAAACATTCCCCTGTGCAAACCCCAACAACAGCCCTATTAGAAAACTAAACCTTTGCCCTAACCTTGGCCCTAACCATACCTTAAACCTTGATTCTGTAGTTAGTGCTAACTTCCACCTCAACCCTAAACTTGCTCCCCACTTACCTTACCGTTAACTTTAACTCTAGACTTTGGCCTAATCCTTAACCTAACCTTAAGCCTGACCTTAAACCTAACCATAATTTCACTAGTTGTTGGCTCCAAGCCACCCCTATTACAGACGGCCTCCGTTCTTATGCCCTGTTTAGGGGGCCAAATAAGTCAATCCTACCGCGGAGTTTTACTGCAAATGCCCTAGGGCCGCAATCACGCGACAACAAATACTTCCAAAATTCCAGCGTCCTCAGAAAAACAGAGCTGTAGTGAAGGCGGGCTGCCAGTTAAATTTGGAGGGAGCTGTCGTTAAGGCAGACTTCAGCGAGTAGGGCACGATGGGTCTGTCCCAGAGGGTTGTGGTGATGCCTTTCTGCTTCTGTATTTCAAGATAGCAAAGCGACAATACCAGCACTGCAGGAGCATCAGCTTAATCAATATCGCTGGGCGGCCTACATGAGTTTCCTCCAGAACCAAACTATCTCCACCAGGGGCGTATGAACAAAAAAACTAGGGCGGTCTTTGTCCTGGCGGAATCAGTATTACCAGGTATTCAAGATACAACGAAAATTATTATGACGTATTTTGCCTGAAAAGGAGATGGCCATCTGTTTGCCTGAACTCCCTGAAGATGTCGACTTGGTAAAAGGACTGTGCTTTGGGGAGTCGTAAAGGATGATTGTATGCCTCTGAAACTAATTAATTTGGTCAAGACACATTACCACATCGCACAAACCAAAACTCGGGGGTAGGATGGAAGGAGTGAATACTTCTTCGTGAATTCTGGCGTCCGACAAGGTTGGGTTTTCTACTTAGTTCTTTTCATTTGCGCTTTTAACTTGCTCCTATTAACAGCCCTCCACAACCGTGAAATCGTCCTGGTATGGCATGGCATGCTTGCCTCCGATATTCACTATGTTCACGGCAGTGCTCTATTTGAATGCTCCTCAGAGGAAACACATTTTACTTTGACAGTGAAGTCGTCACCTTCTTCGAAGTCGGAACCAAACTGAAAAGTGAGAAAATTAAAGTGCTGCTCGATAGCTTCGTACCCGAAGCAGTGCACTTTCTTCCTTCTAGATAGTGAGGAGCCCGCCGTGGTCAAATATTTTATTCACATTGGGTTTCTCGCATTATCGATGGGGAGATGCACCTCCCGCTGCCTAGGTAACAAAGCATCATAATCTCAGATAGTTTGGTAAGGCACTTCTTCGATCTAAAGGGAAGTTCATCCTCGACGCCATCTCTTGGAGCCCCTGCTCAAGTTGGCTCCACCGCCGGAGTAGCTAACTCAGAAAGTGGACAGATGTGATGAACTCAAACCTGGAGGGGAAGCTGGTTCAGGCGGTATCCGGTTTTCAGAAATGGAAAGTTACCTGGTAAAATACCTCTGAAGGCCCAATCATTCGTCGAGGGGATAAGCCGTACTATTTCCTGATGCCACGAGCTCTATAGTTGGGTAAACCAACACCACTTTTAGTCGGTGAAACCAAAATAAACTAAGAATGAATCGCACATCCCTCTGTTAGCGGGCAACATCTCTTTATCTAATATTCCCTGTTCGTCTAACGCTAAACCCCTGGGTAAGATAATTGCAGTCTTTGGCTGGTTGCTGGTGTAGTTAGTACACGTGGGTAAACACCACAACTTTTTCACTTGCCGTCTTTGCAACCTTGCCCTGGCAGAGTTCATGAACTACATAATGACGAATAAGACTCTTCAGTTGCCTTCTAACACATTTTGAGCGATAAGATCTACACGAACAGGTTGTTTCAAGATCCGAAATATGACATCCAGTACAGCTTAAAACCCCTTTACTTAATTTTTGGTGACGGTGGCTGACCAATAAGTAACCTCCAAAGTTTGGTTGCGTAAAAATGGCTTTTTTCCTGGCACTGTCTACCGTCCATTTTCGTGGGTTGACGAATTTAAAAATTCGTTCCTTTGGCCGGAATTGGTGTGTAAGCCAATCACACTTTACTAGTAATGCTTAGAGAGTATGATTCATATAACGTGTTCTTTTTTCACCAACTTTACATTATCAGAGAGTTTGCTGCAGGAAATGGTCGGACAGAGGTCCGGGTGACTTTTCGAGGCTGATCAATTTTTTTGATTTTACCGTCTCAGTCATTTTAATGATAATTAGCAGACGCTGTCAGTCAGCAACTCGAAAATCGCTGCTGCGTCCGACGACTCACATGCTTCCCCCTCGGATGAGCTCGACACCAGTTTCTAGTCATTCATGTGCCCATCCTCCTCTGAACCCACATTTTTGTCCATTTTCAAGTGCCTTGACCTTGAAAAACTTTCCTTAAACTTGTTTCAGTCGGTTTGTCGTTGGCCGTGGATTTCAAATGCGCTTGTCCCCCCTCGCAGTACTACAAATGGCAAAGTGGTACGAAAACTTGCGTTCACTTCCAAACCTGGCGATTCCCCGGCTACTGGCAGAAGACGGTGGAAGAGCAGCGAAAAAAATGGCGATTCGACCCACCAGAGTACTTCAAATACCTGGACTGCGATCGAGAGGGAACTCTGGAGATGACCTACTTCGGACTAGAGGAGGACACTGCAGAGAACGGGTTTGTTAAACCTTACCTTCGCCGAGCGGAGTACTGCCGGTGCAAACCCAATTTCTACGGAACTAGATGCGATAAGGTAGAGAAGTTCTCATTCAGTCTGTCATAGCGCAATGGCCTTTAACAAGACTACTTTTTAACCCATTTTAGGAAGAAAAGACCCATATGGTTGATATTAACTAGGTGATTGTAAATCGAGTGTTTTTATACAATACCCTGTCATCTTGAAATCTTTCTTTTATCAGAGACGAAATCCCTGTGAGGTATCGATTGGGAAAGCTCTCTCTGGAAATACAGCCTGCAGAGTAACCGATGGGAACAGCTGCTTTCCAAACATAATTTTATCCACCTATACTTGTGCATGCATAACCGGCTACAGACGATTCAACTTCACGAAGGGACCGTTGGCGGGCCTGGACAATTGCATTGAACAGGTTGGTGGCTGCGAACGCACCAGCTGCAATCACGGTCGATGCATTTCGGTGAGCCTATTTGTTCTCCTCATTAGTGCATACATTACTCTCGCATCAGGGCTTTCTTGGATACTTTTATCGGTGCCGTAAGGGGAAAACAACAAACTTTTCACGGTGGGACTTGCGTTTTCTGAAGTCTTTACCACTGCGGGACAAAAGTTTCACCGCAGTAAATCTCATGTGACGTTTAAAACATCGTTCCAGATTGCGGCCAAGGCACGGCATAAGGATCTCCTGTAAATCAGTTGGCCTTGTGCTAAATTCCGGGAAGTATATTTATTCTCATGTCCTAACCCTAGCCCTAACATTAGCTCTAACCTATATCCTAACTCTGTCCCTAACGTTGGCCTGAGTCCTAACTGTAACCCTAAACCCACCTCTAATCTCCATGGGATTTAACGCAAGACCATCTGTGTCACAGAGAGAGAGAGAGAGAGAGGAGGGGTTTCTATTCCCCTTGTCTTGTGCGGTTGCATTCATCTAGATTTTCACGTTTACTGTCAAGCAATAATCAGATTTTATTCCAGTTTGAGACGTTCCGCTCCTGTATCATTAACTTCTCGACGATCTCTATGAGGGGGACTATTAGGGAGAAGGGTTTCTGGTGTCTTGGGGCGCAAACTCATCGGAAGGTAGGATAAATGCTTGGTCGCATCGCCGTTGAGGTCATGGACTCTATCGAACTAGCCCAGTAAACGATGGAGAAAGGAGTACTGACAATTATTGTACCTTCACTCCCTTCATGATTATGCAAATTGAATGAGGAACGGATCTGAAAACAAGCCATTTAAGATAAGGGAGGATGCAGACAACGCTCACTAGGGCCAAACAGATACGTCGACTGCAATAAATACCCCCTAATGTGGACTTCTACTTGGCCATATATGGGAGATCCGGGCCGGTGTGTGGCACGCCGAAAACGAACTCATCTTCCTTTCTCAGCCACTGAACTATATCTTGGCTTGATTCCGAACGGTCACTAGCCCATGGGAGATCTGGGTCGCCCTAGATAATAATTAACGCCCACTTTTCTCACTACGAACATCCAGGCGGGCTTTGAAACCATCACAACGTGGGTAACCATTTTCTCCGCGCAACTTCGCCAGCCGGTGCATGCGCAAACGAGATGAGCGACAAAATCGTGCCGACCCCAAATTCTGGCGAGTGATCCCGTACATCAAGAACGTCTCCGAGGACGTTAGTGGCCTTCTCGCACCACTTGGGGTTGGAGTTGTACACAGACCGGAGGCAACCATCAGGCGTCAGGCGATGAGACCAAAAGACCCACTATCACGGCAAGAAACATCTGGAGTCGTTTACCGGATCTGGTGCAGTTGCGGACAAAGCAACTACATCGGAGAAATTGAAAGACTGCTCCGGACGCAAATTGCCGAACACGCGGCAGCAGTACGGAGAAATGGCGCCAACTTTTAGGTCGCGGCCCATTCGACGGGACCCGGCCACACATTCAAGCTCGATGAGGCTGAAATTCTCGCGAGAGGGGATAATCGCGTGAGCCACGAGTTGCTTGAGTCATGGTTCACGGGACCTCAGTCTCTCAACAAGTGCAACGACATCCCCACTCCATATTCCGTACGGAGGCATAGGCTGGCCAAAGTAATTGACCACTCGGGGAGCGCGCAAGCCTGTGAGCCAGATGGCCGAGCAATCATCACGCCAGCATCCAGCAAGGGTGATGAGGTTTCAGCAATTAACTACTTGCATGCCGGCCATCAAGCAATTAGCGCACTGGCGGGCAATAATCCTTGATGAAGGGGAGCGCGGTTAATTACCATAGGTATGCGGCAGCATAGCGACTGCATCCTACAAATACTGCAACTTCCTGTGCACGAGTCACCCATTTCTGCTTCTGTCTCTGATGATGGGTTCAAGTGAGAATCCGAAACGTCAGGCGAATAAAGCCCTTGTTCCAGCGATCGCTTCTTCTTCTGATCATCTTCTTTTCTCAGCCCCTGTACTATACCTTGGCTTGATTCCAAAAGGTCACTAGCCCATGGGAGAGCTGGGTCGCCCTAGATAAGAATTAGCGCTCACTTTTCTCACTACGAGCATCCAGGCGTGCTTTGAAACTATCACAACGTGCCAGCCTTGTGGGTTTGAAAGTTACTCACCGATAGAATAAAACAGCCCACCTTAGGATTGATGACCTGACTGTAAGGGCACTTTCTCGGTGTGGCCATAATAGCGTTCTCACTCACGCGAGATCCGGAACAGTTCTCTCAATAAAACCCATTACGTGTGGAGTTTTGGGTCAGCACATTGTGCGGTAGGCGTAGATGTGTTCTCAGCTGCGTTCACTGCTCCTGTTTTTAATAATTCGAATCTGTATTAGTCTTGGAGATAGGCGGGTGGAAAAAATAGATAGGCAATTATGATGGAAAGTCATTTCAACATAAACAAGTTCATGTTGGGACCAATTGCCGCCACACCCGACTCGGATCCCACGGAGTGGGAGTACCATAAACGTCGCATCAAGAAGGAACCATTGCAGCCTGACTCTTAGACCACCAGCTGGCCACTTCACACAAACACACAACACTGGGTCGACGGCGAGGTCCAAGTTATCCTGTCAGTTGGCAACCTTCCAAGCCACGGCCTTTAGCGCACCGTAACAACTTCAGGCGCGTCAGATTGTTTCTAGTGAGGGGAATGCGCTTAATCGTCGGACCCACTCTCACTTCCTATTCCCACACCCCATTCGCAGTCCCGAGCCGGTCAGTTGACAGGTGCAGGGAATGGGCGCGGTGGCTGACGTATCTAGTGTGCTTATCTGCGCGCGCCACATGCACGAACTGGTCCCCCAAGCACAAGCACCAGGATTTCATGCAACAAGGGTTGAGCGGCGTATATCTCACATGCATGAAAGTACGGCAGGTCACGTTGGACAGGAGCCGTTTCAGCCCGGGCCTCAGCCCACCAGTTCGCCACTCCACGCAAACACTCAAACAACTCGGCAGACTGTGTGGACTGAATTGGGGCGTCAGTCAGTGGCCTTCCAAGCCACAGTGCTTAGCGCACCGTGATAGTCTCAGACTCGAATTGCACATGCAGCAGAGGAGCCGCATGGAGACGCAGCCGAGAAGCACACCTCCCACTTGCATGGGAAGTGGCAGTTGGATGCTTGTGGTGGGTGATTATGCTTTTGAGTAATGTAGGTGGTAGAGAAGATGTGGTTATCTACCGCAGGTTTTTGTGAATGCGCATGTGACCTAATAGGCCCATGCGGCGGGTGAATGTGCGGGTGCATTGAGGACAGTTTAGCGAATGCGTCTGATGCATGTTGACGCTCTAGGCACTGGTTCACCAGTCTCTGTGTGATGGATTCGCGGGTGACCAACCAGGTCGCTGTGTGGGACGAATGTACAGGGACAGTGCTGACAGGAAAAGTCGACAATGTCGGCGTCGGCTCCAGAGGTGGTGGCCGTGGTGGAGCTGCTGTTAGTTGACATGCTGGGCGACGGGGTGTGCGTTGGGCTAGGCATGGTGGTGTGCAAGATGTGCTGAGTGTGGTGCAGCTGATGACGGTGGGTGTGCTGAGCAGCGAGGTGTGGGTTCAGCTAAGCACGATGGATGTGTATGAGGTGCTAGGCATGTCGAGACTGCGCCCAATTCCGTTCTCGTGGATATGCATGTGACCGAATAGAACCATGCGACTAGTGAATCTGCAGGTGCAGAGAGGGCAGTTAAGGCGGGTTCGGCAAGCGTATGTTGGTGCTCCAGGCACTGGTTCGCCAGTCTCTGTGCGATGGATTCGCAGTGACCGACTAGGCCGATGTGTGAGATGAAGGTGCGTTCGCAATGAGGACAGGTATGGATCGAGTCCACATCGCTGGTGTTGACGGTGGGGAAGTTGATGCTGCCGATACAAGCGAAGATGCGAGTTCCAGGAACTTGGCGAATAAAGTCCTTGTTCCAGCGATCGCTTCTTCTTCTGATCAAATTGTTGTTAGTTTGTAGGTCATGATTGTGTGTAGTGGTGGTGGGTACAGGGGCCGCCGTAGCGGATGTTGAGGCAATGGAGAAGCAGGAGGAAGAGGAAGAAGAGGCGGTGGTGGTGGTGGTGGAGGAGGAGGAGGAGGAGGAGGAGGATAGGATTTAGGTTTTGAGAGCGCAGTCAGTGTTGGGCAGGCTGGGGACGGTTGGGCGTTGGTGTTAAGAGTAGGGCGCAGTTGAGATTTGCAAGCCTCGCGTTTGGCTTTGGCGGCGGTGATGCGGGTGGCTTCGTAGACTGCCCCACCGGTCTTCACTGCTCTCCGCCAGGTCGATAGGTTCCGGGTGAGGTCTTCTCAGTCAGCCGGGTTGATTTGCAGGCGCTTCAAGGAAGCCTTCAGAGTGTCCTTGTAGCACCGGACTTGACCTCCTTGGGGACATCTCCACAGAAAAGCCGTTTATGTAGCCGCTCGTCGTCCATCCGCACGAGGAGGCCGTTCCAGCGCACTTGCGGTTTTCCCAGCAAAGCGTACATGGTGAGGATTCCAGCCCGCTCCAGTACGTCGGTGTCGGGGACCTGGTCCTGCCACCTCAGCTTTAATATCCGTCGAAGATAGCTGAGGGGAAAATAATTGAGTCTTCGCGCCTATTTATTGTACACCGTAGGTCCCAGCTCCATACAGCAGCGTCGGCAGGATGACTCCCTCGTACATCTTCAGTTCGGTGTTGAGGTGGAGACCGCGGTGATTCCAGACTGCGCTTTGCAGACGGCCGAAAGTTCGGCTGGCTTTGGAAATCTGACGGGTCAATTCACCATCGATTTTGGTGTTGCGGGAGAGGGTGCTGCCCAGGTAGGTGAAGTTGTCCACAGCTTGCAGCTGCGTGCCGCTCACGTTGATTTGTGGTGCGACCTACATAGCGTCGGGTGGCGGTTGATGAATAACCATCGTCTTCTCCGTGTTGATGACCAGGCCGAAGTTGTCACAGGCGGCGACGAAGGGTCCCATGCTCCTTTGCATGTCCCCTTCTGTCGCTGCACTGAGAGGTCAGTCGTCGGCGAAGAGGAGTTCATAGACGGAAGTTGCTGATACACGCAACTGGAAGTCTATCTGCTGCTGATTGAGGAGGTGGCGTCTGTCCTATAGGTGACGCGGATCCCTGAGCGTTCGTCACGATAGGCATCCATCAGCATGGCAGAGAACATGAGACTGAAGAGGGTAGGCGCGAGGACGCAGACCCGCTTTACTCCGTTGGTCACTGCGAATTCCTCTGAGACGGCTCCATTATCTGTGACGCGCGCCATTATGTCATCGTGGAGCTGACGCACCGTCTGAATGAATCGTTTGGGACAGCCGAATTTCTGCATAATTTTCCACAGTCCTTCGCGGTTCATCGTGCCGAAGGCTTTCGTCAGATTCAAGAGAGTGGAGTGGAGGTGCATTCGCATCTCCTGGCACTCCTTCTGTAGTTGGCGGACGGCGAAGATCATGTCGGTGATCCCGCGATGACGGCAGCAGTCGCGCCGCCTTTCCGGCTGGAGACCCTGTTCTAGATGGTTGTTCAGACGGTTGAGAAGGATGCGAGCGAAGATCTTTCCGGCGATGTTGAGCAAGGAGATACCTATGTGGTTGTTGCAGAGCTGGTGATTGCTTTTCCGCTTGTAAAGATGGACGATTGTGGCGTCCTTGAAATCCTGTGGGACTTCTCTTTAACGCCCCATCTCCTGGAAGAGCGCCGTCAGATGAGCGATGAGTTGGGAACCACCGTGTTTGCAGATCCCGGCAGCGATCGAGTCCGATCCGGGCGCCTTCCCGCTGGAGAGCTGCTGCACGGTCCTACTGGTTTAGTGGAGAGAGGACGGGAGGTCGAAGTCGGTGTTGGTCTCCATTTGAGGCAGACGGGCGATAGCGGTGTCAAAGATGGTAGACGGACGGTTGAGGACGCCTCTGAAGTGCTCGTCCCATCGCTTCAGAATCTGCGTTTCCATAGTGAGTAGGGTGGTTCCGTTGGCGCTGAGAAGAACAGCAGTGCCTTTGGCTGTGGGACCGTAGCCAGCCTTGATCGCGGCGAAAAAGCTCTTCCATTCGTTGCGGTCCGCATATCCTTGAATCTCCTCGTCCTTGCGAGCCATCCAGGGCTCCTGAATCTCTCGCAGCCGCTGTTGCAAAAGGCGGCGGCTATGGTAGAAAGCTGCTTTGTCGTCGGTGAGTAAGAGGGGGAGGCTGGAAGCAGAGTTTTCTGTCCCTCCCTAAGCTAACTGGTTGTTGAAATATAAACGGTGAGCAGACAAATTCTACAGAACGGTACTTGGCAGAATGCTAGTACCGACAAAGACAAGGGATTTAGCTTACAACAAGGACAAACACAGACAACCAGACAAAGACGAGCGAGCCAGATCAGGCTTACCTAGGGGTCACTTACCTTGTGGCCTTCAGCGGGGTTGCGGACTAAGTTTCATCTTGCAGGTGGCGAGGCGCTGACCCGTGGGATATTCGACCATGGACTAAGAGGGTGGAGTAGAGGGTCGAGAAAAAGGGAGGCAAAGGGAAAGGACGGAGAATAGGTGCGAGAGAGCAGTAAGCGGGCGGTCTCCCAGTCACTGGGCCAGTATCTTGCCGAGTGCTTGTGGCCTCCTCTGGAGTCGTAGACGGGGCCTCATTTCAGAGAAGCCGAGGCGGTGATCCGTCCGGCCATCGATGGTGGGAGCGGAGCCGAGTTACAGTGTGGGCAGATACACCCACGAATACCCTCACCGGGTTTAGCCCGCCGGTCGAGACGGTTGCCGCGCTGTGGCTGCTAGGCGGAGCCTGGCTTCGGGAAGCCATATGTGAGAGCTGGGTGCCAGTTAATGGACGCTTAGCGTAGTCAACACTTGTAAGCAAGTGAACGACCTACTAGGACATCACGTGGACCCACGACTGGACACCCCTACACTCTACCATCGATGTACGGCACTGCACGCCAACACTTCGGTTTCGGCTGCTCCTTCGGTTTTCTTCCCTGGGTTTCTTGCCTGCACTTTTCTACAAAATTCTCAGGACAGCCGTTCACGGTGAAGCTTCCCACAGCAACTGAACCTCGGCCTCCTTGTCGGCTGGTTTGGTACAATGGATTTCCTCACACCGGTGGAGTGTTCTCACGCAGTTGCGTTTGCGCGAAAGAAGGTGGTTACTAAGAGGACTTAGAATATGGGAGGTATTCGTTGCTTTCCGGTAAACCGTTGTTTTCAGCCCCCCATCACTCTTTCTCTGAAGAAGTACGTCGATAAACGGCAACTGACAATCTTTTTTCTCCTGCATCGCAAACTGGATAGCTGGGAAGATCGAGTTCATATGTTGCATGAATTCCCAAATCCTGTCCCGATCGATGATGAAAAATGTGTCATAAACATACTCTAGCCACAATCGTGGTCGATAGTAGTCAAAGGCCAGTGCCACCAGTCACTGTTACGCTGCCTCAGCAATCAAGTTGGATAACGGCGTACCCTTAACTTATTCGTACACAGCTCCATTGAAGGTAAAGAATGTCTTCAAGCAGCGTTTCTGGGGATCAGTAAGGTGTTTTATCTTAAGTTTTTTTTTGTCCGTCTCGTTATACTGTTCTTTGAACACGGTTTGCATGTTTTCGACAGCGAAGTGTTGTAGCATGGAGGTGATAGTGATATCACTTCGGAGGATATCATCACTTTGTCATCTGTGAGTCGAATGCCTTGCAGTTTTTCAATGAATTTCGTCTTCTTCTATTCAATTACGTGAGTCGCGCGTATTCTCTACCATTCGGACATGTGCAAATCACCACTGCACCCTCTCTGGGACGGTGGCGTTTGTGGCACTGGAGCTGTCAAATGGCGTTCTGACGACAGGCGCGTTCTCCGCTCTCAATCTTCCTTGCTGCAATGTGCATACTATGAGCCAATAATCGCCTTGAGCATGGGACAGCACAGTTAGGCACTCTCTTAACGCTTCCATCGAAAATGCTTATGCTCGGGGTTGGAAGAGGGAGATTACATTCAAAACTAAAAATGGGCGAAAAATCCAGATGCCGAAATGAGTCTGGGTCTCAGGACTGCTTCTCAAGTCTGTTCTCGGACGGACGCGGTAATCCAAAAAAGAGCACTTTGAGCGTGAAAGCACACAAAATGGGACACCCCCTTGCGTCGTGGCTTCTCACAGGCTAGAACGAAATCACCCTTCTGGCTTGGCTACCACTTGGATAAAAGGAAAAGCAGGTGGCAAGGCGGTGCAACAAGTGATCGGGGAGTACAGATCCGGCCATCGATCTGTCAGCAAACGTGTCTGACCCCACACTCCGTCTGACCAAGTCCTATACAGCCAGGACGAACGTCGCAGCCCAGTTCCATGGCTGGTGACTACGGCCGGGGTCGACGCAGCCTGTCAGAGGGGGCAAAGCGGGGTGCTGACTGGTCACTGTCCTCTAGTGAAGCGTTTTGTTGTTCCAAGCCTATCTCCGAGGTTGAACTCGAAAACCAATCCGAAAGCGCAGAACGAAAAATTACGCTTCCTGATGCAGTAAACTGGGAAGCATAGTCGAGATAATGAACTTCTCTGGGCGAGTGTCTATCTGGCTTGGCCTTGAGGGCGTAAAGGAAAGGTTTGTGGTCGGTGTGCGCCCGAAAGTCTCTGTCCTCTAAAAGGTGTTGAAAATGACAGATAGGCCGAGTAGATGACAAGTAGTTCACGAGAGGAAGTACTGCAGAGGGTCTGGACCTGTTGATACAAGACTCTGCCGACAGCGTCGTTTGAAGCACAGGTCGTCAACATCAACTGTGCAATAGCGCCCGGACTGAGATAGTAAAGCATGGTAGTGTCACCGAAGGTTTTCTTGGCTGCCTCAAGAGCTGAGTGAGCTGCCGATGCAATTTCGATTGGCTTTGTCTTTGATTTCAAAAGATCAGTCGGGGAGCCAGTGTAGCTGCATAATTAGGAATGAATCGCCGGTAGTAAATTGCCAGGCCAATGAAACGCCGCAGCTGCTTTCGTGTCTTTAGAGCAGGGAAAGACAGGACGCTTTGCACTGTCTTTGGAAGTGGGTCAATCCCATGTTGGTAGATGTGATGACCAAGGAAATCAAGAGAGGTGGTGCCAAAAAAACATTTACCGACGTGTAGCTGCAAACAATGCTTCTGAAAACTGTCGAATACTTGGCGCAAGTGCGATTCGTGTCCCCTCTGACGAGGAGCTAGCAACGAGTATATCGACAGAGTAAAAAATTGTAAACCAAAAGTCCCACAAGACCTCATCGATGAAAAGTTGAAACGATTGGGCCGCGCTGCGCAAACCGAAAGGTAGGCGAAGGAATTCGAACAGACCGGAATGTGTCGTAATGGCGGTCTCAGGAATGTCCTCTTCCGCGACCGGTAACTGAGGGTATCCTTTCGTGAGGTCCGTCTTGGAAAAAATGGGTTTAGGGGAATTAGATACGGATATGAAACTGTGGCCCTGTTGATGGCACGAAAATCACCGCATGGCCTCCAATCATCGGACGATTTCTTGGGTACCATATTCAGCGGAGACGTCCACAAACGAGAAGAATGGCGAATAATTCCCGGATTTTTCATATGTTCAAATTAATTTCCCGTTATTCGGAGCTTTTAGGGATGAAGTCTGGGCGGATGGGCGTGCACGGGTGACCCTGTGGTGACAATATGGTGTTTGACCCCGTGCTGAACTTCTTTGGTGAGCTGACAAGGTTTACTGGGGGACGATCAGTCTCTCAAAATGTCAGCGAATGACAAATGTGAAATAGTCAAGTGGATGCCAACCAAAGGTTCAGAGGTGATGGTACCAATCGCAAAGAGTTGGGTTGTGGTATTGGTGAATTTGTAATGCTTTAAATCGACTGCAAGACCAGAAGATGATAGGAAATCAGTACAGACAATTGGCAGCTGCAGGTCGGCCTGGATAAAGACCCACTGAAAACGTCGCCGGAGACGGAGATCGAGAGTGAGGGACCGTCGTCCAGAGGTGTTGATCGTGATGCCGTTTGAAGCCTGCAATAAATATGGCGAAGGTTTGAGGCGATGACGCCTAGGAGGCGGGATGGAACTAACTTTGGCACCGGTATCGACGAGAAAACGGAGACCGCTCAACTGTTGAGTGATGTAGAAGAGGTGACTGACTAGCAGCGGTCATTGTCATTACTGGCTGGCGCTGTTGTTTAACTACTGGGCAATCGGTGGGATGTGCACGGTGGAATGCACTCTCAGGTCTTTGGGCCGTAGGTGCGATGGCTCCACTATAGGGTTTGCGATTGCCGTTCGCGCGGCTGGGAACGCCGGCGTCGATATGGTTGGCTTAGTACTGATTGAATATTGCTGACGGAGCAGCTCGTGATGACTTGGGTGTACAAATGGCTACCGTGTCCTTTAAGTCTTCGTAGTCACCGCAGCGTGGTTCATTTGTCACTCCTAAGGGGCATGATGGTGGTGTGCCTCGTCGAGGGGCGCAACAGCGAGGTGACGACTTCGGA